AACGCCACGCCCCTTCCGCTTTTTTCATCACTCGCCATTGCCATCTATGAATACAGCGCAACAGCTCTGACTGCAAGCTGCAATTGCCCGAGTGCTGACCGCTAACAACTTCCGGTGATGCAGGTCACAGGCCACCGTAGGTTAAAGGTGACCTGCTTTTTATTTTATTTTTTAAAATACTTTTTGTGAAAGTGAGACTGATAGGATGCTAAGTGTGTGCACTTACACAAAAATATGTCATTTTAATAACGCGCACACAGACACACAAATGTTTTGGTTTTTTTCCTCCCTCTACACCCCTCACGATCGACTAGGGACCAGTCCGCGAGCTACCGGTCAATCGCGATCGAGTTATTGGGCACCTGTGCCATAAGAACACACCTAATAGGCATGAGTGCCCTCCAGGGGCAGAAATGAGAAGGTCAGCACCGTGACAGTGGTACATTGTTGTGGGTGTATTTTTTTTTTTCAGTTTTTCCATTTTATCCTTGAACAGTAATTGCACTGCCAGATATTTTGAATAGTAATTTTCGGCTACTGGATAATTGTTTTATTCATTGTATTCATTCAGTTCTGTGGTCTACCTTATTTGAAATTTTATATTAAAAAAATGGAGAAAAGATCATCAAAAACTGCAATTTATTTCATGTAATTTTATGAAAAAGTAATGCATCAGGATATATACTGTATTATTGGTGTCTAAAAATAACCTATATGGAGACACTAAATTTTGTCCATAGCACACAACTGTTGCTCCTCACCCTACTGTTTCCTCATATAGGCATGGTCATACCCTCATTCTGCCACTCATACTATCATAAAGCCCCTCAAACCATCTTACCAAACATTTTATGCTAGATATGGCACTGGTAGCCAGCTGGAGCTTGTTAGCTTCTTCGCTTATTACTGAAGTCTCCATTTATCCTGATGTGGGCGATCTACCCTGTGATTGAAGAGTCTTTGATCGCACTGCCCTCAATACACTATACTGCCCATCAGCATTATATCCAAATACTACTGCCCTAGTGGACTCGCTCTTCCTCTTAAACACTCATTAAGTGGATTTGTTATTTTGTTTATTATTATTATTTTTTAATCTTGAAAATTTACTCTCTTTCAGGGGTCCTAAATGACCTCTCATCCTTTTGCCATACACAACTGCGTGTGTCTTTTCAAAGAAGTGTAGGATTGGCTGAAATGTAATTTTCTAAACCCAAATGAAAATAAAACTGAATTGTGATTGTTAAACCTGCGCACACCACTGACCTTGGTCTTCCTCAGAGTTCCCTTGAAAAGAACCTTGGCGTCATGATTGACATTTCTTTTAAACGGGATAAGCAAATCAGCGCAGTGGTGAAAGCAAGCTTCTTTCAGCTGTGACTGGTTGCCTAAATTAGAAATCTTAGTTGCCTTCTGACCAGTTGGAAAAACGAATTCATACATTTATTACCGCATGCCTGGATTACTGCAATTCCTGCATTATGCCCCGAATGCTTCATCCAGTCATCGCTTACAGCTGGTTCACAGAATGCGGCTGCTCGCCTCCTGACAGAGCATTGAGATCACATTACGCCAATGCTGCAGTCACTTAATAGGCTGCCTGTGTCTTTTAGGTTTCAATTTAAAATTTAGTTTGTGTTAAAATCCTTGAACAGCCTGGCTCCTGTACACTTGTCTGAAATGTTTGTATACCAGCTATTGTTAAACTGTCCCCATTCATGGTTGAAAACAAGAGCTGAAGGCATGTGTTTGCAGGACCAAAACTTTGGAATAAGCTCTCCCTGAACATTTGCTGTGCTTTATGTATTGAGTGTTTCACTCTAAAAAACAATGTTGATAGCAATTTTTTTAACACATTATGTACACAATATATGCACATGCAGTAATCACTAGTTGCTGCAAACAGACGAACGCTGCAACCACAGAAATGATACAAGCAAACAGAAACAAACAAATAAATGCATACCCAAAAATGCAATGACATAAAACTGCGAAAAAAACATTTGAAGAAATAAAACTTTACGGTATTCTGCAGTTTCGACCATTGTCCCTTGATTGGTTTAAAAAAAAAAACAAAAAAAACCACACATTTTGTTATCCCGCAAGTGACCAGTTCTTTACGACACTGGACTACCCCAGGACTCCAGCCGAAGTACTTTCATTAAGGTCTGATGTTGCATTCCAAAATAAAAGGCCTCTAAAATCTGCCATGATTGACCTTAACATCTGTTTAAAAAAAACCCAAAAAGCATTCAAATGTTATTATCCCTCATGCAGACCACATCTACAGGACACTAAAAGACCTCAGGACTGCAGCCAAAAAACTTTAACACAAATCTAACGTTGGATTTCAAAATACAACTCCTCCTCTACAATTTCAACCATTAACACTGATTTTTAAAAGATATTTAAAAACTAAAATGTCACTATCCCCCAATGAAACCAGTACTTTCAAATAAATCTGATGTTACATTTCAAAATAAAATTCCTCTGAATCCTGCAGTTTAGACCATTACCTCATCTTGAAAAGTCATTAAAAATTAAAATTCGTTATCCCGCAGCCAGACTGGTTCCACAGGACACTAGACTACCTGAGTACACCAGCCAAAGTACTTTCACACAAATCTGTTCTTGCATTTCAAAATAAAACTCCTCTGAAATCTGAAATTTAGGTCGTTACCCCTGATAAAAAAAAAAAAAAAAAATCTAATTTCGTTATCCCCTAACCCGGGGGTCGGCAACCCGCGGCTCCAGAGCTGCATGCGGCTTTTTAGCGCCACCCTAGTGGTTCCCTGGAGCTTTTTCAAAAATGTTTAAAAACGGAAAAAGATGGGGGAGGTAAATATATTTTTGTTTTAATATGGTTTCTGTAGGAGTACAAGCATGACACAAACATTATTAACGTTTTCCAATGCTGTAAAAATGCGTAGAATAAATAGATTTGCGTCATAGCCTGCGACACGTTTTTATTAGCAGGACGGGATGCCAGTCAGATGGCTGTCATTAAAAAAAAAACAAAAAAAACAACATTTCATGTACAATTCACCGAGGGTACTGGCAAAGAATGGGAACCTGGAGGGCCGAGAGAAGCATTTTTAAACGGTAAACGTGAGCTTAACTGAGCTACAATAGTTAACACGCTGCAAAAGTGCGTCCCATGACTCGATTATCTTAGCGGCTGTTATGGCTGTTGCTCATTATGGCATGCGTGTGTGCGGTCACGGGTCGACCTCGGGAGGTTGATTGATCGAAAAGTAGATATTCCGTCAAAAATGGTTGGGCACCGCTGCTCTACAGGATATGCACTGCAAGGGAAAAAACATTTAATCATGAAGGCTTATTGTGTATTTGTAGCCAAGTTAGTCATTTTCATAGTAGGCTAATATAGCTAATATCGATACATACAGCATGTGTTGCCTTCATTGTAAGGCAAATACCGTATAAGGCTTTTAAGTTTTTGCGGCTCCAGACATGTTTGTTTTTGGGTTTTTTTGGCCGAATATGGCTCTTTCAACATTTTGGGTTGCCGATCCCTGCCCTAACAAGACCAGTATTAGGTCACACTCAACAACCCCAGGTATCCAATTAAAGTACATTTCCAAATAAAACTCCTCTGAATTCTACAGTTTTGACCATTACTACCCATGATTTGAAAAATCATTAAAAAGTCAAATTTCATTATCCCCCAACCATACCAGTTCAAAGGCACACGAGACCACGCCAGGAATATAACCAAAGTAAAATTCCTGGCATGCTGCTATCTGAAAATTTGACTATAAAGGGGTTATACAGTGGTACCTCTACTTATGAACGTCTCTTCATACGAAATTTTCAAATTACGGAATGTCTCAACAGGAAAATATTGCCTCTTGTTATGAAAGAAATTTCAAGACATGTAACTGGTCTGTTCTCAACTGCTTGTAGTCTCAGACCTTCACTACAGAGGGTGCAAACATACCGTGGAACAGCTGTAAAATCTCGCTTCACATTTAACTGTATACAAACATTACATCCACACACAGACATGAAAATTCCCGGGGGGAAACCCTACTTTGCGGTTTTTCATTTTTCGTCTGGGGGGCTGGTACCAATCAACCGTGAGATACGAGGGA